TATATTCATTCTATCAGACAGAACATTATTCTTTTTAAAACAGATTAAATGCAAACTTTTACATCTCCAACACATACAGATTTCAGACAACAAAAAAAGACACATACATTGTATGTGGTAATTGTTTAAAATAAGCTGTTACTACATTTTCACAGATTTTTAAAAAAATGTCTGTTTAAATATCTCATTTCTACAAAGTGAATTTACATTTAAAGTACAAAGTGCAAATACTATGGTTGCTCCTTATTGACCTTTGGTGAGGGAGTCTCCCACATGTCCGAGAGATCTGCCTTGGATATGAAGTATTCAGCCTTGCTTCTTTGAGGTTTGCTGTCAATAAAAATTTGAAAAATAGTATCTCATATGTATATTACTGTAGTATACCTCATGATATTAAAACAATCAAGAACAGATTTACTAATATTCTGAGAAAAATACATTGCAATTAGAATATTCTGTGCCACTAAATATATCACAACGGGATCTCGAAATGATCGGCTATCAATGATCAAAGATTTGCACTGCAAACAATTATCTCTTTTTATCCTTTGTTTCCATGGTAAGCAATAAAGTTCTGAGGAACACTGATTTGCCTCTAGCTACCATATTAATTCATAGAAAGTAAATCTGGTGGGTGGGTAGAAACTGGTGCTTTGTTCTGAAGCCCTCCTGATTCTTCTCTCTCTGTGTGAGATGTATACCTGCATCAATATTTAAATGAACTCTAAGTAGATTACAATTAATAATACTAATAAAACAGTCACAGGAAATAATTCAAATTACAATGAATACAATATTTATATCATTAAAACTAATATGGGTTCCAATGTCTTCAGAGTCAGTTCCAAAGGCTTTCCAGAAGAGACAGGTTTCTACCAACTTCAGGAAGGTAATGCGGGGGTGGGGGGCATCCTCAGTTTAGGAGGCACTCTGTTCCAGGGGGGAGATTCCATAAAGAACTCCCACCATCAGCCTCCTCCTGTCACACCACCTGATAGATGGGGATCCTTAGCAGGCAGTCTCTGGCAATCCAGGTATGGTGGGCAGAATCTGTTCAGGAGAGATGATCTCTTAGATACCCAGGTCCTGAGCCATAGTCAGCTTTAAAGGTAATTGCCAACACGTTGAATTGCACTCAGAAAGAATACTAGTAACCAGTGCAGCTCTCACAGCAGTGAAGTCAGTCTCAGTCTTGCCATTAACCTGATCAGTATGTCAAGTGGGCAGTTGCGTTTTGGATCAGCTGAAGTTTCTAGATGGTCTTCAGGAGCAGCCATATGTAAAGCAAATTACAGCAATCTAATGGCAAGATGACAAGGGCATAATAGTGTATTCTGTTCCAGATAAAACCGTAATTTGCACACCAGCCAAAGCTGGGCAAAAGCCCTCTTATGGCTGACACCTCTCTTCCAGCAGGAGCCATGAGTCCAAGGGTCCATGAGTCCTAGACTGTGAGTCACTTCTCTCTGGGAAAGCATAACTCCATCAAGAGTCAAAGCTGGCAAAATCCTAGAATCAATTTTCAAATAAATGGCCATTCTATTTTGCTTGCTTCTCTCCATCCAGACCCCAACAGCCTCCAGGTACAGAGCCAGAACTTCTACTGCATCTCCCATTAGGTCTGGGGTGGAGATAAACATCAGAATGTCGATACCACAGCCCAAATCAATGGATAGTGGCTTAATGCAGACATTAAACAGAACAGGAAAGAGGATCAAACCATGAGATTCCCCATAAAGGAGCACCCAAGGGACTGACCTCTCACCCTGTCACCACTGACTGGTCTCAATTACTTAGGCAGAATCAGAACCAGCATAATATGGTGCCTTCAACTCCCTGCCCTCACAGATGGTCTAGATGGATACTATGATCCACTGTATTGAAGGAATTTGAAATGTGTAGAACTAGAATGATTGTGCTTCCTCCTTCCAGGTCCTACCACAGATCATCCATAAGTGCAAGTTCCATCCCATGTCTGGGTCTGAAATCAGATTGCCATATAATCTGTGTCCTCCAGAGACCTCTATAATTGCAGCTCTACCACTTTCTCAACAACTTCCAAAAAGGAGAGTTTGGAAATACAATGATGGTTATCCAATTCCATTGCATCCAGCTAGGCCTCTTGAGAAGTAGGCAAACCAGTGCCTCTTTCAGAAGACTTGGATCCTCTCCTTCCTTTAAAAAAGTGTTGATTACTACCTGGATTCAACTCCTAATCCCTTTATGGCCACTTTAATCAGCTAGGTGGGTGGGAGTCTTCATGTAGTAGAGATCACTTCCATGAGATCCACATGTTTAAAAAGTTTCCAGGTAACATCACAAGGCATCACCTCTGCAATCTCAGTAGATTCCATCTATCTGGCTTCCAACTCAAAGCAAATGCAAGTGATATTATCCATGAAACATTCAGCCAGATTATTGCAAGTTACACCAATCAGTTCTTCTAGCCTATATTTTCCTAACAGAGATTGGGCGGTATTAGCAGTACAGCTGGCTGACATGGATGGATGGTGTTGTGATAAGCGTCAGGAAGCCTATACATCTAATAAATAACAACAACACTTTGCCCCCTGATTGCAAGAATAGGCTTGAATCAGAACTGCATTTGTTATGGTCACGCTAGCTTTTCATTTTCTGTCAGGGTTGCTTCAGGCTTCTCTTCACCTGCTTCATTTCCCAGAGTTAAGTGGCCAGGTAAGGAGTCTCCATTCAGGGAAAACTCAGAAAAGTCCTGTCCAGCAACTTGGATATATTTGTATTTCAGAACTAACAAGGTGTCCAACAGAATTATTCTCAAAGTTGCTGAGAAAATCATGTGCTGTCTGAAATCAGCCCCTTCTCCCTGGAAAGTCTGGTGGCTCTGGTTAATCCCAAGAAAGGGACTGATGGAAACATCCTTTAGAACTAGATCACATAACATATGCTTCAAGTTAAAGGTGAGATCTCATGTATGGCCAGCTACATGTGTTGGACACATTTAGATTTCTTTGCAGACAGACCTGGTGTTCAAACGCATCCACCTGAATCCAAGGTGCTCAGTAATCTGGATATCTGGCTGATGAGTTGAGAGCGGCCCTGGATCAGACATTGCAGTAAATTTCTGTCTTCCCATGGAACAGTTCACTGCAACATTTACTGCCATACTTTCTCCTGCTTATCCTTACTGTTATCCTCTCCTCCTTTTCTGATCTACTCAGTAACCTAGCTTCTCATCAATCAACCAAGTGCCAGCTAACAATGTTCTTACTGAAGTCCAACTACAATACAACAGAGCAGAATAACCTCACTTAGCAGTTATTCACTATCAAATCATACATGCCAACTCCATCTTCTAATAACAAAGCAGCTGGCCCTCAGCCTTCCATCCATCCAACTTCAGACCCCCAGTTCTGATTCAGTGTAGGCAGAAGAAGCAGAGGTAACCCCAATTTCCCTGTTTTCTCACTCCAGGGCAGGGGTCCTTCTCTGTTCTCTGGCTGTTCTTCAGAGAACATATAATCCTGTCCTGAAGCCCTCAGTCTCAGGTACAGCATTTGGCCATCCAAAGTCCTATATTTGTGTGGCTGAGACGATGGGACCTATATCTCACCTTGGAGGTCAGACTATAGTGAAAGTTAGGTTGTTCGGATCTCCTGGGTCACACCACTTCACAATAGCAGCCATGGTTACCTCAGGTATGAATGCTTCCCCCTACTACCTTATACAGAAAAAAACTTTCTTTCTCTGTTAAATTATATTTTAGCACAATCCTTTTTCATAAATGCTAGTTTACTAAATGAAGGCCATTCAAAGACATGACTTCTCACCTACAGTCTGAAAGTGTTTTAGACCACATCTCTATTGCCCCTTCACTGTTCATAATGTGTGTATTGAGTCTTGGATCCCTTATTCTTATTATCTCTATGGCCCATTCTTTAATGGAAACAGAGCTGATTGCGGTCTATTGCCCCTTCACTGTTCATAATGTGTGTATTGTGTCTTGGATCCCTTATTCTTATTATCTCTATGGCCCATTCTTTAATGGAAACAGAGCTGATTGCGGTCTTTAAGGTAAGTAGTTTCTTTTTAAGTGTTTCTTGTCAGGCATATTCAGTTCCAAAGCCTTCCTTTCAAGTGAGGGCTCTCATAATGAAAGCCCCCTTTGGCATCTGTGAGGAACCTTTATGGCCTCCCATTGCTGTAGCAGTTAACTGCCAACAGATGGTTTGTACAGCTAGGACCATTTCAAGGCTATCACTTCACAGGACGAGCTTTTAAAATAATTGAGAATGAATCAGCAGAAATATTGGATCAAATAATTCTTTAAGAAAAAGAGAAAAGATAGCACTATTGCTCTATATACTTTACATGTTATCAGATGACTGGAAAGCTGGGGGAGGCCAGAGGGAGAAAAAGAAAGCCAATTATGGCTTTGAATGAAGAGTAGGGCGCATGCCCACAGCCACAGCGATTACATAATCAAAATAACCGGTTGGGGCAGTTCCGAATTCTGCCAGAGTTAGAGTTTTCAGGCCACCTTGTTCAAAATGTAAGAGATGTTCAGGGAATTAAGCCACGGAGTGATGCAGAAAGGAGCGCTTTTGGTCTCTGTGAGATTCTTCCAAAGGTGTGAAAAACCTTCACTAAATTCCTTACTAGTTTAGAGAGGATAAATCTCAAGGAAGTGGCAGCAAATGAGAGGTAATTTTATATCCTTGTGGCTAGTTTCTCTCCTTGCAGAGGTGACTTTGGGTAGTTACCTTGTAAATGCTTTCTCATTCCAGTGTGGTCGCCAAGCTGGGCAGATTCCAAATGCTATCAAGAGAATGGGAAGGTTCCTTTTTTCCCCTTCCTGTACTTACCTGCCTGTTGGAAGGAGTGCTTTCCGCATGTCTTCTGGGAACTGCTGAAGAACAAAACAGACAGGAAGTTATTTGAGAGTAAGCAGGATTCTATGCAACAATTTAAACAGAACTTTAAACTTTCCAGATGTGCAGTGATATTACTCCTTAACAGCACATCTAGATCCTACAGATTTGATGGGCTTCCTTGGCTCATGGGAAAAGCTCTGATTCTTTCACTGAGCCCCCAAAACTTCAGACTGAGACTAGACTGGAGATTGGGCGAGTCCAATTATTTACAGCCAGGAAAAGGTGGAGATGCTAGAAGTGGTCTATCTGCATGATAACAGACTGTGGAGGGACTGTGTTCATTCTCCTTTTATTTTTTAAATTAAACTGTATTAGGGCAACCAGATTTCCAAGGGTAAAAACCAGGACACATTAATTTGTATGAATGTACATATTTACCTGTGTTAATCTATAATTCAGTTTCCCAGAAGTTCCATGCAAAAATCACACACACGCGCACGCACACACACACACACAGAGGAATATAAGGTTTGGAAGGGCTTATCTGTAATGAAGCAGCTTTCAGTAATTCCAAACACTTTCTGTTTCCTGTTGTGCTTGTGCATAGTTGCATAATGATTTCTAAGTCAAGGCAAATTAATGGAAGACTAACAAGCAATAGATCCCTTTTTCATTCA